GCTATACAAATACAGGCCATTTACCAGTTACAGGGGTACCCAACATGTCTCTAAATGCACATTAACGCTGACAGCACTTCTTTTCACATTTATTCAGTAGAACAAGGGCAGAGCAGCAACAGAGCATTTGAATAGATCTGAAACAATTAGGGGATTTGCAAAGCCACAATATAAAGAGAGTTATAGAACAGAGCATCTCAATAAGAACATAGTAAATTGCCTAATAAATTAATCAAGCCATTTTGGTAAGATTTGTTTATAAAAAACCAAAGTGGGTCGGGGGCGATAAAGGCTATAGCCATTTATGGTTTCTACATTCATTTGTCTGGACAGTTAATGTATGTCCAACATGACGGTAAGTAGAGGACAGCACAGTGCTTGCTGTTGGACTGACTTGATATAGCTGACCAGTAAAAAGAGGTTACCCAACCCTTTGTTATTTTTTGAGTAAGAAAGCATCTTACCTTATCTTATTGGACCTCATGATTATAATATCAAATGATGCCAAATGTGTCTACATTAATTACAGTTTACAAAGATACCAATTGATTATGTTCAGTTACAAATGCCATTGCATTACTGTTAAAGTACACAACATTCATTCACCCACCCTCTACCTGGTTTTGTACTGTTGGAGGTCCTTAGCTCGCCGTTTAACAAGCTCTTCGTATTGATCCTTGGCTATATAATCTTTAAGAAGTTCTGAGCCTTTAGGGCAGGTACATTGATGAGCCAATGAAAAGTTCCTAGGAGAAACTGACCTGAAGAACAAAGGAAATACAGAACTCCTAAAGGGTCAAAATTCTCTTCTATATCACATTGTCATTTAAATCAAGTAGTTCAATTCTTATGGGAGTTTGGGAGACTAGTCTAAAAAGTATTTTCATGATGCATTAAGGGTAACAAGACTGTTGCTTCATCTGGATAGCAGTATACCAAGTTTCCTCAAATAAAATGCAGTTTCACCTCTGGTCAGCAACAAAAAACCACAAACAAAGTGATCATACAAAGCACGCTACATGTGCGTGTGGTGTGTGTTAAGGACAATTTAATGAAAACACTTTCAAACACTGCCAAATATACCATCTTATCTTAATGACCTTGTGGTACCATATCACCCTATTAGAGCACTTCGCTCTCGCTCTGCAGGCCTACTTGTTGTTCCTAGAGTATTTAAAAGTAGAATGG